TACTAAACAAGGCAGCGGATACTTTGTGCTATTGATATGGGCAGAATAATCCTCTCAGAAGCATTCACATAGGGGTTTTGTTCTCAACAAACTGAAAATTTCATAGGCCTAACACTTACTAGGTTTCTAATTCTAGGACTCAATCCCCTTCCCCAATTCCCTTTAGTGCTTTTTCAAAATGGAAAGGACAGGCTGCAACCTTCTTTTGCAGAAACTTTGTGATGGAAACAGCAGGTTCCCTGCACATCCACTCAGATGTATACAAGCTGTGGAAGTTTGTCATACAGGAATTTCACTGCTTCCCAGACTTCTTTCCTCATCACCCTCATGCACAATAGTTAACTTTGTGTTTTTAAAATTTGTGACATTTATGTATTTCAGGACTTCATTTAGCTCCAAGTGTCTAAAGCACCACAGCTTTGTTGAGAACTGTATATGAAAGAGAATTCTTTTGGCTATTTTTTGATTAACCAGAGATACGGAAAACTCAAAAGCCTGCTTTTGGGTTGCATTAAATTTACCCTACACCTTTTCAGATGAATTTAAGAAATGGAAATAAATCAGATAAGAAAGATCAGTCACTGCAAAAACTTTCTACCACTTACTGTACAGTCAGACCAACCTACCAACTCCTGATTGATCTTATTTAATTCACCATGCTATAAAAGTGTACACCCCTTTTATGCTTTATAATGGGGGGAAAAAAACCCTAGAAAGTAATGAATAGTAATAATAAAAAAAAAATCCCCTTACATGCATCCCAACAGTAAAGAACAGTTTACCTCAGCCACATTGGTAAAATTAGGTAGACAATTTTAATCCATTGGTTTTTTTTACATACTTGCCCATCAGAACATAATTTCCTTAAAATATATTCACCTTCCCTCCTCCCCCCCCTCCCCCCAAAAAAAACACATTCAACCCACTGATACTGAATGATTCTGAATGATTTTTACTTCACACACACACACAAAGAAAATGTGTCTGAAAGCAGGCTGCTTTTTGGCATACAGATACCTCGGAAAGCAAATCTAAGTGAGATCTGGCATCTGTGTATTTAGAGAGAGTGGCTATTACTCACACCTTGCTATGATAATATGACTTGGCAAACACAGAGATTGAAATGCCTTCCCCCTCCTCCCCTCCATATTGCACTGCTATAATTGGCCACCAGCAATTTGACATAGAAAAGGTTTGTACGTACGCGTTCAGCTGGTGTGCACCCAGGCAAGGTCTGGGAAGGGAGAACTTCCCAGGAGTCACTGCTAGACGCACACAGTTGGAAGAAAGCCTGCAAGACTGCAGATTAGCAGCCTACAAACCCCCTCATGGGCTGTGCTGGCCAGCTGAAAAGCTTTTCCCCAGATTTCAAACCAGTTTGTCAGACACTAGACCTGGAACTGTTTGAGGCTAGCGGCACAACTCTGGTTCCAGGCTGCTTAGATAACAACTGTGGAGCTAACTGGATGGACTGGGAGAAGTTATTTTAAGTTGCAATTACTAGCTCATATCTTATCAAAACTGCTGGATGCACACAATCGTTGCTGCTATTATCTTCCCTTCCTCTTCTGAAAGAGCAACAAGAATTTTATTCATGGCAAGTAAAGATAGAGGAAATAGTACCAGGTGAAGGGTTAGGTGCACTCTGCTGCTGCAGCCACCCCAGTGAACTCCAGTGCCTCCCACTCTTCTTGCAAGCAGTCCTGCTCTGCATCGAACTACATCCCTCTCTTCCAGAAGCACTTAACCCGCCTCCTTCTTACAGTGACAAAGGATCCAACTAAACCACCATGTGATGGCAGTGCTCAAAGCCAAAGCCTGCACAACTTCATCTTAGGGCTGGGTAGTCCCAGCTGCACACAGAGAGCGGCAAAGTACTTTGCACTTTCAAAGCAATCACTGTGCAGTTGGGAGAAATATGAATCTGAATCATACTGAGATGGAAAGCAGCACTACTGCACATCAGACAAGGTGGAAATTCAGAGGGGGTCAGTAGCAGGATGGTGGAGAACAAGGCATTCTCCACTTGCTATACAAAAATTAATCCAAATATGAGAAGAAACATCAGCGTCAGATTCAATATTAAAAGTCATTGCCATAGCACAGAACATTCTTCACCAGGCAAGATTAAGTGTTGAAAGACAGCCTGACCTTGTTACAAGTTCATCTGAAGCCATAAGGCTGAATGAGTAAACTGGGCATAAATAAACATGTTTTTTCTTGCATGACTCCTTACACAGCTACACCTCAGCAATAGATTTCTCTTAGATCAGTCATGCAGTTATTACTAACAGCAAAGACTGGTCATCGTAAATTTTATGCTCCCATATTGGTTGCACCTACGGTCAGGAACAATGGTCCCATCAATCCTCCAGACCCACTACTGGCTACCAAATACAGCATTTTCCATCAAGTATTTAATGAGATTAATTTTAATAGGATTTTATAGACCACCTGCAGTCACTTACTTTACTGCAGCCTTTTAGGCTATTGTGACTTTCAGAAGTCAGGCATTACATTACTTATTTTACTTATCATTAGAAAACGCCTCATACTGTAAAAAGGTACACAATCACCAAAGAAAGGTAAAGAACTGCATGCTTCCAGGCTGTCTACGGTAGTGTCGTGGTTTAAACATCTCTATCAGCTCTGTTCCCGAGCCGAAAGTCAAAACACTGCACTGCACCAGCTACCAAGGAGGAGAAACATGACTGCTACTGCTGAACCCAGGACAGGTAGGTTCTGGAACATTTTCTTATAGATTTGGTAACAAATTGTTGAAGAAGCCAATGGGAGGCTTTTTTTTTTCTCCTAGACTTCTATTATCATCCGTTCCCCCATCCCTGAGAGAAAGCCCACCAAAAGGCTGCAGGTTTTTTTTTTCTGGCAATAAGATGCTGCTCCAAGACTGTGCCACACACAGACTGGATGAGCAGCCAACTGCTGAGTGGGAGGCTCATTAAAAAGGGCCATTTGCTTGCCATATGTCTCTTTCTTCTAGACAGACAAATTCTAGTCATTAGAGTTTAACCAGAAAGGCAGATTAGTAAAGCAATTTTTTTGTTCAAATGGTACCAGAAATTTTCCTAAGCAGAGTACTGAGAACCAGTGGGTGCTCAGAGTGGTTAGAAACAAGTTAGAAACATTGGTTAGAAACAAGAGCCCCTATCCCAAAGTGGAATTGGCAGAGCATCTCATCCTTGCAAGGCTGACATTTCCCAGCCTCCCATAGGGGAGTCCCGGTCCCACCACCTCTTCCTGCTCCTGCCCTCCACTGCCACCCAGGCTGCTGCTGCTATTGTCTTCTGCTTCCCCTCTCCGCCACCATCTCCCCCTCATTCCTTTCCCTTCCTGTTACTGCTGTAACATTTCCTCTGCACATTCCCACACCCAACAGGATGACTACAGGAGTATAAACTGACAGGATCATCCAAGCCTGTCTGCCATTGAGAAGTCTGTGCACTGTGCTCCCAGCTTGGAAAGGCAGCACAAATGCATCAGCTCCCAAACATCTGTCTAGAACAGGTCTTGCAGACCTTTGGGCCCATGATGTGTGTCTTTTGCACTATGGGTACTCCCACCCCAGCAGACAAACACAGGTAACCCATTACAGGCTTCCTACAATGGGGTAGCGGTCAGTCAGCAAGAAGTAAATTGACAAAAAGGAAACCAACCACCACCAAACCCCAACCCGCTAAGATTTCAAGTGCATCTCAGCCTCTTTTTTAGAATCATAGGAAGCAGTTTTGCAGATAGGCATATATGCATGACTGATCTTATTGTAAATGTAAGTCTCTTCTATTTACATACTGCTTTAAGACACTACCAGTCTGAAATCAAATTCAGATTCTCCATTAATTTCACATAGAAAGGTTGTCTTAAATTCACATCATGCTTTTAGAACAGCTATCCTCCTTGAAGGATTGAAAAGCACTTCACAGGAAAACATTAATTACCACGAACAGTCACAAGTAATGACCATTTCCCACATCCAGCATCCCAACAATGTCTAGAGAAGGCTAAAGCTGATTTACTATCGCATTGCACACTCGCTCCTACTCAGAGTATTTCTCATCCCACTCCCAATGATATGCTGCAGTGATTCCCCTATACTGACTGAGAGATGCTTCCTTCCCAGCAGCTAGTTGTGGGTTTCAAAGCCACAGTCCTAAAAATGCCTGAACTTGGACCCACAAATCTTAAAACACAGCATTACTTGAATTTTCTCTTTTTTGGTGGTAACATTTGTGTAGCATGTGTCTTAGTTCCCCCCCCACACTTTGAACCCTAGTAGCTAATTTAGTAGGGACGTAGTAGCTATAGAACTGGATTATGGAAGCCACCTTGTCCATCCATCTCACCAAGGTTTCACCTTCTCCATCAAGCTTCACAGTAGCCTTTATTTTTTGACTTTGGAAATGCAGAGACCCATGCAGCATTTTATCAGAAAGAGCATTCCCCAATCAGTACTTCCTGCTGCACACTTTCTCCTCCATAGATACATATCTCACACTTGCCTATGTTAAAAAGGTTATTAATGACAAAAAAAGTAAAAAAAAAAACAAAACCAAACCAACCTATGTTTCTGGCAGAAGACAACAAATGCACTTCCTATCATTTTGATGAAGACCTTCAGAAACCTTCAGATGGGATCATGAATCCTCATCACAGGTCTATCTTTTTTCTTGTGCGTGTGTGCAATCATTGTGATCAAAAGGGGACCTTTCATGTAATGAGCTGGTCCACACACACACTAAAAGAGGGATCAGGTGAGCACCATGAAACAAGGAACAGACGCAGCCAGCTTGAATTATTTCAGCCACCCAAATGCAGCCTGCCAGCCTTGGCTGGCTATTCCCAGTCTACTGCAATACAGAATTCATGTGAGATGAACCGGAAAAGGTTGAAGTGGTGACAAATATTTAAGGAGCACAGTGTGAAAGTGACTTCCCTGAAAACCACAGCCTCCTTCGCATATAGATTTAAAAGGTCTTTCTTACTCTACATACACTATCAACCATCCAAGATGACAGTGGCATCTGTCAGTGGTGTAGATTTTGACAGGTGGTTCACTGCTAGGCATTCCTAGTTTGAGGACACTCATGAGAGCCCCTGTGCAGTATACACATGTACACTGTATTTCCTTCTTTGCCCGTGCTCTGTCTGCCTTTGGGAGCAAGCTGCACACTCTGGTTGAGTTTTGCCTGCAGTAAAGGGAAAGAGAAGAAGAATTGAAGCTTCATATCTGTACATAAAGCTGTGAGGGAAATAAACACAGGCTTCAGGTTCTCATTAATGCTTAGGTCCTTCATAATGAGAAGTTAAATACCCATGTTTCTCCTATCCAGTTAATAATGGCCACCTTTGCTATTAGCTTTAATAGCGTCCTCTGCACGCACACTGAAACAAATTAATCTCTACCAACTGAGGACAGAAAATCTCTTCACAACAGCTCACAACAGAGGGAAAAAGCCACTTTTTCCACTCCTCGAAGTTTCAAAGCTCACAGAAGTGCCTTTCCCTGACACAGCAGAATGACTATCTTGGATCACCGGCTAAATTAAACACAGAAATTACATTCTCCGTATAAACAGAGTTATACATGGCTTAAATAGCATGGTTTTATTTTCCTATTGGCACCAATTGGTACAGTAGTTCAGTCGAAGCTTAAGACATCCATGATGTCAGTTGCTTTAATAGGCAGCACTGACGTGACCAGCTCTTGTTCCCAGACGCAAAGTGTGCTGGTTTCCATGGGGAGGATGCTGACCGAAGAATTCCTACCGCACTTCCTATCAGTTGTTTTGAGCCACAAACACTGGCTCCAGGGGGGAAAAAAAAAAAAAAAAAAGTCTGTGTCTCCAAAAATTCACAAGATGACATCATCGTGTGCGACAGATTCCTCTGCAGCTCTCTCCCCAAACACACACGACCTATCAAAACCCCTGCTCTGCATTCCTGCCAGCTGGGTTCTGTATGTACAGAAGGGAAAGACATTCATAAGTTTTGCTTTGCTTGTTTGCCATGATAGCTCAGTTGTAACAGTTCCCCCTCCAGCCTCAAGGAAAAGGGACAGCCAGTCTGAAAGAGATTTCTTAAACTAATCATAGGAGGTTCCTGACAATTTCTTCCCTCCCAAATTCCCACACAGATTTAGACCATGTAATAAGTCAGAATACCAGCAAATGAAAAAAAGAAGGGACATACTTGAGACAAAGTGAAACCAAGGGCAGAAGACACAGACAAATGGAGTAAAAAAAAAAAAAAAAAGTACACAGTAAACCATACCCAAATGTCCTAAACATTAAGAACTGTACTCTGCAAAAGTCTTCATCTGCTACTAGCATGCACTATAAACCAGGTCTATCACAGGACAGTTGTGTTGGCAACCGCATCATTCTTTGTAAATGATTCTGTAACAGTGACATGTGCTTGCTTACTTCTGCACCTGCTACTCTACTCACATGAAAACACAAACCCCAGCATCATGCACCAGAGTTAAGCCAGAGATTAATAGAAGGCAAAGGGTAGGAAATGGGTCGATTAACAGTAGGAAAGGGTGAAGCAGCTTCACACTTAATTTTTGCTTTATTCAGTGCTTAGAAACAAGCAGCTCATTCCTACCCCAACCTCGCTGGCTGAAGCTTGCTAACTGGGTAGCCTGTGGTGTTCATTCCTCTCCTCCCTTCTAAATCCTTAAGTTATACCTTATGAAAGAGAAGAAAAGCCTCCTCTTGGGAACTCAGGAGCACATTCCCAATTTCCTTGTAGCAATTACTTAGAACAGCCTCAAGTGGTCGGAAGCATGGGATCAGACCAGAACCTCGAGTGCAGCCCTAAATACACCTCAAATGCCCAATGGGGATCAGCCTTTTCCTCGAGCTTCTCAATGGTTAAGTTAGGCAGCTTTTAAGACCCTTCTCCTAAGCACTTAAGTCTTTCTATCATCATACAAATGAGCCCACTGTACTAGTGGAGCTAAGGCAAAGTAATTCAAGCAATGCCAAGCAAATCCTGTGTGATTTAGCCCATCTCCCAGCCTTCTGGGAACCAGTTTCCTAGCTGCTATTCTACCCTTCCCTCAATTGCAAACTTTCAAAAAGCCATCTTCCCCAGTTAATTTCTTTTGTAAAGGCCTCTAGAGTTCTTTCCTAATTGATGCAACTCCAATCAGCTTCTTTGTTGCCCACAGAGATGTGAAATAAGCAAGCAAAACCAAACAAACAAAAAACCCACCTTACAGTGAATGCTTACAAGGTCACAGTTGAATTTCATCAAGTTCGAAGTTTGAAGACTTAGAGTAACAGCCAAGAACTGTGGAAGTCTGAGAGGAACATGTGATAATTCAAATCATCAGTTTTAAAAGCTGCAAGTTTTCCTTCTCTCCTCCTACCCCCTTTCCCTCCTCGCAAATAAAACACAGGAAGTTCAATGCTGAGACAAACCTTACTTTCTTTTAAACAAGAGTAAAATTACACCCATGCCGAAGTCAAAGCAAAGGAAAGCAAGACAGCTGTATCTGAAAGCACACACCTCTTTCCACCTAGTACCCCACTGAGATGGTATTGAAAAATATCACTACCATCACAAACTTTTGTTTCCTTTAAGGCACCAACCAAATCCCATGAAATCAAACAAATTTTATAGCGCAAACTGGTGTCTACAAACCCCAAGTTCTTAATTCCAGGTGGGAAAGCATGACAGAAAATACAGGTATTTTCTTTCCATGAACCTCTGAGACATAATCAGCCTCTTCCTCTATTACTTGGAGGAAATAATACCCTGTGATCTATCCTGTGAACATAGTACCCTGTGAAACTAACCCTACTGTTCTCATTACATGAAAGTGCAGCAGCCTGGCAGAGCTGCAGACTCTACAGCAGTTTCAGACATTTGAGATCGGACAGGCAGCAAAACTGAAAGGTGGGTGGGAACTAAAACAGTTGAAGGGGGTTTCACAAGAAGGCTGAATACAAGCTTTGATATATCCAGCCACGTCAAGCAAATTCTGCACATTCTGTATATATATATACACATACACACAAAGAGAGAAATAGTCTCACAGTCTGCTGATTTTAATGTACTAGGATGATAACTCTAAGGAAACTAGACACTGAAAAATAGTCTAGCTGACTGAAGAAAGATGAAGTTGAAAGTGAAAGATCCTCATCAGTGTGACTGATGAAGAATTGCACACCAATGTTTCACTAGAAGCTAAATTTGAACCACCTCCCCACACTGAAAAGGTATTTCTGATTCATAGCTTGCATTCTGGGAAGCTGCTGGCACACAATACTAGAAAGAAGTATCATATACACCCAGAACAAACTCCTTGGGCTCAGGACAACCCGCTCCATTGAAAATCAAGTAACCAAGCAAACAAAAAATAATGAAAAGAAATACATATACATTCTTTAGTAGTTATAAAACAAAATGCAAAGTAGAAGAGATTCTCCAGTACAGGTGGTTAGACAAAAGGGGAGAATTTCAGGAAAGTTAGGTAAAAAGCTGTCACTTCACAAGACTGGCAAATGGAGGAACAGGAATAACGTGCACCCACAGGTACAAAATAAATAAACAATTTTTGCCAGCAACTTCAGTGCCTGCAATTTGATGTTGCATTGTAGAGCAACAGAGAAGCATTTGCCAAAATTTAAACAGGTACAGAAAAGTGGAATAACAAACAGATAGGACCATGGTGAAGTCTGACAGCAACTAAACTGGTTGAGGATAACTCCCTAAGAAGAAAAAAAAAACAAACCCACAACAAAACCAACACCAAAAAAAAAAGCAAAATGGAAAATGAAGAATATATATATTTGCTCATATATGGAAGAACAGTTCATCCATTATTTCAAGGTAACAAGTTTAAAAAATCCAGAAATATGAATACAGTTCCCAGACTACAAGGCTGTGATTGCCTAGAGTAGAAAAACGCAGTCTTCCGTGGGAAACAAGGAGGTAGCAATTAAACTAAAAACAAGTAGGTAAATATATTTTAAGGCATAATCATTTCCCTGACAGGAAAGCATGGAATGACATTATATGGGTGGTTATAAGTATTTCAGACATTACTGACTTCAGACTTCTACAGCTGAAGAGGCAAGCACTGCTCACTAAAATGAGCACCCTCTCACTCTGCAATACCCACACACTACTCTATGGTCATATATCTACAACAAATAGATCTACTTTTTATATATATATAAAGTATAGACTTTCTTTTATCTGTTTACGGGGAGAAAAGGGTTGCAAGTCTCACAAAAGTTCACACAGTCAAGTATTCACAGCTACACAAGTCATAGTTCTCTTTTAAAGCCATGAAGACTATCTGCTGGTGGCAATGCTTTTGTATGCAGTAACTGTGAAGAAAAGCTTTCAAGCCTCCAACTGCTTTTCAGATCATACAACCTTTTCCAAGGAAAAAAAAAACAAAATAAAACTTGGGTACTGGGGGATTAAACGTGTGGGGTTTTCTTCTGAGGACATGCATTCATTAATCATTTACCAGCCCACAGATACATGGCAGCCCTGCCTCTGTCAGAAGTACTGCACTGGGGGCCCTGTTCTCTAGAAGTTATATTCAGTTTTACAGCACAAAAGCCCCAGGAGATCTATGTGGTAGTTGGGTGCCAGGTTAAGTTCAAAGCAAAACACAAATTAAAATGCAAAACGTATTTCATATCAGGGAGTGGTGTACTTGGAAGACTCACCTAAGTTCCCTACTCCAGAGCAGTGTCCCTCCCTGTCTTAGGTCTCACCCACCTCTTTGTACCTACAAGTTACCCCATCGGAGCTGTGCTGCTCCACTTACACAGAAGAACAGGCATAGCTCTTCCTGACACCACCCACTGTTCCTAGGGAGGCAAAGCCCCAGACCAAGGGCTCTTTGTCCAACACCACCTTCCTTGACGAGCAGAAAGCATTAAATTACACCTGAAGGAGGGAAGGGTCTAAACTGAACTTCAGACAAGGAAGCACTCCCTTTGTTCCCAGAGTAATGCAGGTTGGCAGCAGGTGTAACATAAAGCCATCAGCAAAAGATGTTTGTCAGTCTAATGTTTGCTCTTCTCTCCAGGGCCATGAAGAGAGTCATAAAGCATGCTATAAACATCTAAGAGTGCTCAGTATCACCAAAGTAAAATTCCAAGCTCTTCCAAGATCACAGAATGGTTCAGCTTGGAAAGGACCTTAAGATTATCAAGTTCTAATCCCCCTGCCATGGATGCCTCACACTAGACCATGTCCCCCCAAGGCTCTGTCCAACCTGGCCTTGAACACCCCCAGGGATGGAGCATTCACAGCTTCCTTGGGCAACCCATTCCAGTGCCTCACCACCCTCACAGGAAAGAACTTCTTCCTTATATCTAATCTGAACTTCCCCCGTTAAATTTAAACCCATCACCCCTTGCTCCTGTTGCTACAGTCCCTAATGAAGAGCCCCTCTCCAGCATCCTTGTAGAACCCCTTCAGATACTGGAAGGCTGCTATGAGGTCTCCACGCAGCCTTCTCTTCTCCAGGCTGAACAGCCCCAACTTTCTCAGCCTGTCAAGATCTTGGATGCATCAGGTTCAGAGTGGGTTCAGAGCAACATCAGCGGCTGTTGTCATCCCAAGATAACTAGGAGACACCTAACTCACACCATACTTCAGTGCTCCCACAGCATCTAAGGTCTGACTATCCCAGAGCAGGTAGCAGTAGGGCTGCTGGAATCACAAAACTGTGTCTTAGAGGCAGGCATGCCTTTGGACATGAGAAACTTCTGCAGCTGCACATTGCAAAATCTCAGGAAGCTCTCCTGCTCCACTGATGCAAAGGCAAGTTCACTCTTGAGAAGACCTGCAGAGACCATCTTCCCCTGTGTTAGCAGGATGCAATGAGGAACAGGCCCATCAGGCAAGTGCTCCATGATTAACAAATCAAACCAGCAGAAACAGGTTTGCTGTACACCAGTTCTAACACTGGAGGAGGGACTTCTGACTCATTCCCACCCGGCACCCCACCTGGGAAGACTCACAAAGCAAGGTTTTAAATGTGTTTGAAATGACAAGCTATCGGCACACCTGGGTAAGCAAGAGGACAGGGCACCAGCAATTACTCTGAATTAGCAATTGCTAACACTGTCCCTATATGGTGGGGAGTTGTGATTTCACAGGAAGAGTACTTCTAACACCCCGAATGTGTTACTGCGTGGCACACCCTGGAATGGGGTGTTACTTTCTAATGTCTTCATAAAAGTATTTTCCTTATTAGTTGCCTCCTATGAGGACAGAGATGACAGCAGTAACATGAGGTATCCTCTTCAAACCCTGGGCAAAGGTAAGAGGAAGCTTAAAGAAAAAAGGCAGGAGTTTGGGTGTTAAATTATTATATTTTTTTAGAACATCATCTCAAAGGAACAGCTTTGTTCTCAGACAGGGGAAAAAACCCTCAGACAGGAGAGCAAACGAACCATCAGTTGCAACAACAGAGATAAGGCCCTAAAAAACAAGAGTAAAGGTCCTGTTATGGTTCGACTAAATGTGAGAGTGAGCATCTGGGGCAAAATAACCTAGATGCTGCCAACCCATTCACAGGTACTTTTCACAGCATACCCTCACCAATAGCAACACAGCGTCAAAACCTACACCATGTAGGTGAGGGTATGCACATGCATAAGCACACGTGGGGGTCACTCCACAGCCCTCTGCGCCACTCTTCCTTTACTGCAAGTTTTCAGGAAACAAATTCGGCTCCGTCAGCTGTCACATCAGTAGTCTGCACACATAAGGAATTGTGGCCACATAGGCACGGCCATTTACAATAGACTGAGCCTGTGCGATATAGGGTAAGAGCAGGAGTCTTTGGAGGCTTGAGCTGATGAATCCTCAAAAATGCTTTTGATCATTTTGAGCTATATAGAGCTGGAAGGTAATACAAGAAGGGTTGGACAACACCCGAGGGACACAACGTCTTCAATGCCTTTCAGTTATCACAGGATGCGTTTGAGACATGGTCATCAGCACCCCTGCGACACTGGGAATGAGGGGCGTTCCTCTTGACAAGCAGCAGCACAGTAAGGCCTAACTCTGCAAGACACCAGCATGTCCTGTATCTTCCAAATTCATATCACAAAACAGTATTTTCCAGAAGCTACCAGGGGAGACATTTATCAAGGTAAAGATTACAGTCCTGCCTAAGCCAAAACTAGCAATAACATTTGACAACAGCTGGAGGGTATGGATGATACACACTTGCTTTCAGAGTAGAGATTTAGTATTAAGGATAGCATAGTACCAGGAACAACATAAAACTAGTTCAGACAGAAAGCTTATAAGACCTTCCTGTGAGTATCAAGTGCGAGTTGTGTACCTGAGGAAAGCAAAGGACATCAAACATCCAGCTGCTGTGATGGTTTACCTTGTGCTCTTGCGAAGTCCACCCTCTTATGCTAAGACAGGGCACTATCAGGACAGCAATTTTAATCTTTCCATTCTATATGCACGTGAAGACCTCTTTTGTTTCAGGAGCCAGAAACACATTAGCCATTTGGTTTTAATTACATGAAAATTGAACTCTATGCTACATTAACTTTTACTCTAAAGAGAAGACAACTGGAGACAGTATTCAAGAGGGAATGGTTAGATTAACAGCTGTCATATACGGTTGGTCTTTGACAGCAACAGCAAAAATTAACCATATCTACCATTCCCAATAAAAGCATCAGGGCAGCAGCTTCCCAATAGGGAAAGGACTATCAGCAGGACTGTAGAACTCAGGTTCTGTTCATGAGAGTTCACTTAAATGTAAAGTACATCATTTTCCTTCTTTAACAAGGCTTTATTGTATTTAGGTTTAATAAGTGTATCAAAATCTGATTTAGCAAGTAGCAAGATAAGATTTACTTCATACTCATATTTATATATGAGTATAAAGTATGTCTTTGTGGTACTTTTAAGACCATAATCTCAGGAGAATAACATCAGTTACAACTTCCCTTCCTGCTCAACTGCTGTAAGCAAAATCATGCTGCAATTTGCTAAGTTAAAATTCTGCTAGGGGTTAAAAAGAAAAGGTTATTCAATTAAAGCTGAAATAATCCTAAAAAGTCATTTTAATGAACTCCGATGTTCCATCTCAAAGGGTCATTCTGTTAGGCAGTACGTCTTACTTGGCAGAAGTTTAAAGTGGAAGCATGCAAAAGTCAGGCCTATAATCTCAAATTTATACCATTTACAAACACTTGCCTATGGGGACATAAAATCCCTCCTCTAAAACAGAAGAACTAATGGCTAAGCGCCATATAAACATTCTGTCAACTGTTCTAGTTGCGCTTTCTACAAAGATGGAAAGCTCTCCTATGCCAGTGGAGGGCTGTGACAGCCAGCTCACACAGCAATCACTACCTGACAGCAGGACCTTTCACTAGCAGGACATGCTCCTCAGAGAGGTAATGAATGATTCTGGAGCACTCCCATGTCCCAGACCTCACTGCAGAGCAGATATCCCACCTAGCTCCAGAGCTAACTGTGTTAGGTCAGTTCACAGCACAGCAAGCCGTCTTAGGCAGCTACCTTAAGCCTTGCCTCTTTAGGGCAGGGCTCTGCATCCCAAAAGCTGTAAACACAAGGCACTGCACAATGCAGCACTGAAAGAGCATTCAGTGTTAGCTTATAGATCTATGTATGGTACTCCACAGCAGCGCAAGTTAATCTTTAGGGTATGGAAGATGCCCCTAAATGCATTTAGATGTTAGCACCAGATTGCAGTGCTTTGCTCCACACGCTTAAGACTCATTTATGCTTTCTTGTAGGCAAACCCATCAGACGTGCTCTGGGTACTACAAGTTAGCACTGACCATTTGTGTGAAGTTCCTCTGGCAGCATCAGAGCCCATCACATATTCATTAAGTGCCCTCACTACATGGCAGTTTCTGAACTTTCATATATTTTCATCTCATTAACAAGGGGGGTTTATGACAGGGAACTTTCTGGAGGTTGTTTGACAACCAACTAAACACACATGTTTTCCTGCACTAACACAAGCCAGGAAGAAAAGCACATTGATGCTTTTGCAGCATCTTAAGGAACAGATTTTGATTTTGCTGGTATCCATGTGAATTTAAGCTATGAATGAATGGAAGTACGAAGAGTGAGGAACTCCTACTCAGCAGACCTTTCCTTTAGAAATGAAGGACAAAGCTTTAGTAAACCCCTTAAGATCCAAGCTTCTTTCACACCAAAAACCATTTTATTTTCTATTCTCCTTCTTCCAGGAATCATAGTGGGGATTTTAAGACACAGCATTCAGTTTGAAGGAAGTGAAGTGTTTGCCTGACCTCAGGACTGAAGCTTATGTAGCCAGGAGTTATAAAAGATTCAGTGCTACTAAGCGCAAGCACTAGAAACTGCTTACACTAAGAAAGTTAAATTCAGACAGTTTTAAAGCCATGTATATAATGACACTATATGCCATCAGACCAAGGTTTTTAAACACATCTTAAAAAAGCTGACCTTCCAAAAGCAAACTCCAGACTGAAACAGTATGTAAGAAGGCAACTGATATAAGCTGCATCACTGCAGTTGCAGCTCTGGTATGACTGAAATAAAACATTTGTCACCTCCTGTACAATTCAGCACACCCTCATTGCACCAGCATTTTGAAAGAGACTATGAGAGATCCTAATAAATTACTCAATTAACAGTCAGCTACACAGAAGCCCAAGTAAAGCACTAAGCCCACATCTCTACTTCATAGCCATGGCTCTTTCAGTTTGCACTTTCCAGCTTTTTAAATTCTTGTATCTACTACAGCAGGACAAACACTTCCCACTCAAAGTATTGTTCTATTCAGCTTGTGAATAAGGACATTGAGCAGTAGGAAACAGTATTACAAATAATTTCCTGGGAAAGTAAAAATAATTTCAAATCATCAAATAAATATGGATTAGTTACATGATATCTACTTGAAACAACAACAGTACTGCATCATCCAAAAGGCAGACAGTGACAAGGAACTACATTAGTGTAAACCTGTAGTATTATTACAAAGGGTCCTTGGCTTTTAACATGGAAATATTAAAGAATCCCCTCCAGCTTTAGCATGCAATGAAGTATAAAATGAAGTATAAAAGCCATGCCATCTTTGACCAGACATTTCAAGGCATTATCAAAAACCTTCACACTTTTGTCACCACATCCACAGATGAGAAGCACTGTCAATTCAAAACCAGTTCTTCTACATAGCTACCTGTTCTGTCAACGTGCTGCCCAATGAAACACTATTTAGTAGCCCTGGGAGTAAATCAGCACCTCTTTTGCTCTGTAACATTATTAAAAAGTTAAAAGTCACAGACACTGGCATTAGAGGCTTAACTTCACTCTGCCAAATAAAGTGATCAGTGTAAGGGGTAACCAATTCATTCTCTTTGTATTTCAGGTCAACAATAGCTTTACCTGCATAATGTACAGGGATTTCTATCTTTGGCCCTATGACGTAGTGACCCTCCTCCAGACTGTGAGCTGTAATTGTTGTCCACTGCCGACATGAATGAATCAGAAGATAATCGCTCTCTCGAAGGCCTTCTACAGTTTCTCCTGAAAAACAGATATAGGTTTTTTTAAATAATTCACACTTAGTGCATGAAGAATTAGGAAAACTTCACAACAAGCATTTTATTCTTATTACTCTATTTTTCAGATGTTTTGATATTTATAAATCCAATTAAGTAAATTTCAATCCTACGCAGTATTCATTTTTGCAATGTAAGCACTTCACAGAAAACAAACATAACGCGAAACAACTCAGTGCATGAATACAATACCAGAGAGATGTAACTGAAGTTACTCAGCAGTGGTTCTGAGGCTCCTTCTTCAGCCTTCTGCATAAACAGAATTTTCATATCTCTATTTATGTCTGCCTATCTCAATACAAATATATGAGTGCTCTTTTGATTTTTAAATAAAGGGGGAAAAGTTATATTTTTATTTGTTGAAAGATCAGCATTATGCTACCCTACAGCCACCTGAAGCCAAAAGTTCACCACTATGAAGCAACTGGGTATCACACTTGCAGATAGAGAGATTTCAGCTTTGCCACTCTGTTCCTTTGCAAGTCACTGCTTAATGAGCTGTTCCTATGTCTGTAAACTGAATTCTGCCACTTAATGAGGGAAAGAAAAAAAAAACCAAAAACTAATACACATCTAAGTCTTCTACCCGAGAGAATTTCAACCAGAAGCCCCCACTGGATAATATCCTGCTCGTATTTTCTTGGCTTTCCAGCAATTGCAAGGAACACATTACATGGACTACTCAAAGTCCCAACTGCACACCTCAAACATGATATATGAACAAAATTTCATAGAGCAGGGTGTATCATGGTAGACAGCTCTTGCATACCTGCAGTCCTGCTCAGAATGCTTCTGCATTAAACACACAGAATACAGCCTTTCTCAAGGTGTCTTTAAAGCAGCCACGTGAAAACTTTCAGGAACACTTAGCAGGCACTAAACAAGAATATTGAAGCTTTAAATTTCATTTTCCCCCCTCTCCTCTCCCATCAGCCCTCTGCAGTTACAGTCAAACATAAAGCAAGTAGTTTAGCCCTGGAATCAAGTTTGGACAAAACCCATACCCTTCAGCTACTACAACAAACTGCACTTTCTGTTCACAGTCCCCTGATATTCTTAAAAGCCAGTGGAAGAATGAGACTTTCCTCAGCCCGGGGCAGCAGACATTTCCCCTGTTCAATCACTGCAGAGGAGACATACTTCCCATTGAGCTATTTTTTTGCTCACACTAGCAATCTTTTCCACCGTAGGCAATGGCTACTACACACCCCATTCCTGCCTGATTTCATGCTCCCATTCTATCAGAAAGTGCCCTCCTACACAATTCAAAACACAGCAACTGGTGTGTGTGAGAATTATTATATTTTAAATCAGAAGAAACCATTACAACCACCTGCTTCAACACTCCCTGGCCAGAATTCTGCTTGTTTCTGCCAGAAGCTTGGATTTGGCTAAACATGGGGACAGACCAACCTGCAGAGTCCTAGAGATGGACTTCCCTGGGGCTGCTGTCCTATAACCTGTTAAACCTTAAAAAAAAAAAAAAAGTCCCTGTTTTAGACATTTGGAGCTTAAATGTATAACAGTGGATAAACTGCTGTTGTGGGATTATAGAGGGGGAACAACAAAGAAGTAATCTAAAAGGTATACAGAACCCCTTAAGACTAGTTATTCTTGTTCCTACAAAGGTACATTCCCAGGTACCCTCCTTTACCACAGCACAGAAAGTAGCTCCCAGGTAAGCAGGATATTTCAAGAACTGGATTCCAAGAGCTCCATGGACCACATCCCCTGGCAGCCCAGCCAGGCAGACAGGCTGCTTAACACCAGCTCCTGCCCCCTCGGAAGCAGCCCCCCTCCACCCACAGTGTGCTGCAAGAAGGGGCTTTGGAAAGCCTAGCAAAGAATGTCAAACTGCCATGCAGTGCCAGAGGACTCTTCGGTCCCATCCATATCTTGAAGGAAATTCAGATATGTTTGCTAGAGGAGTCATGCACCCTCTAAATTTTAGCATATCATCTGATCTTGAGCGTCTCCTGTTTTCTGTTCACAGGGCAACTCCTAACAGGTATAAAAATTACCTTCAGCTTGCTGAAACAGAGGTTTACAATTCTGGGGGAAAACCTACTAATAACAGTAATACATGACGTTATCTGCAACTCATGTTTCAGTTCAGAGGGTTAGGTTCATGCTTTCTATAATCCACAGTAACAAATAACTATTCCATCCCACAACAAAATAAAACCAATGACACCTAAGGGAAGAACTAGCATTTTACTAGTCTCACTGACAGTGGCAAATAAATTTTGAAGAAAATACAAAGCATTTCTGGAATGCTTTTTCTCTGCTTTACAATTTGTAGGTTTAGTTTCACAATGGTGCTTAAAGGGAGGCTGGATTCTGCATCCAGGACTGAAAGGAAATAATTACAGTATGGGTCACCCTCGAAGAGTCTGAGAAAGATATTCTCAGGAAAATAAAGACACCCAATTATGAAAAGGAGCTTCCAGCTTTCACATGCCACGATCTGTTAAAGTGGTTACTCCACTAAAACTGGGTGGGACAGGTGAATGTAAAAAGAGATTACTAAGGCAGGGCCAAGAGTAACTACGTAATTAAGTTTGCAGCTGGAAGTAGCTGTATTTTTTAAACAGAACCTTGGAAACCACAGTTCTTGTTACACCAATTATTTGGTCCAACTGATTACATCGGAAACGCATTTCATGCTTTGCCGTGGGAGATCGAGATGAGGAGAGAAGATGGACTGGATGCAATAAGGAGATCACGGTCTCTCAGGGGCTCCCTCACAACAGGCAGGTTTGTCCTTACTAAGCTCTGATCTTTCCTAACTGTGGATGATTCCTCAGGTTGCTTTATAGGAATTGGCTCCTTGTCACCAAAGGGATTAATGGATTCACAAAAATACTTGGCTAATGATGGCCTTCATACTATGGGAGGCAATACAAGGAAGAGTCAAATGAGCCTGCAGACAACAGAACATTGCAATACATACTCTCTTCTCTCTTCCATTTTACTGTAGTCTTGCTCACTGCCCCTAAAGCAATTTCCTCCTGCAGAGGAGGAGGATCTTTCAGGCAGGAGACACCTCAGACCCTAGCTACAAAACTCAACTCCCAGCCAAAGCACAGTCCAGACTTAGCCTTTTACACTTTTCTCAGCACCTTGCAAAACAGCCACACATATCCAACCTGACTTCTTCCCCTGCTTCAGTAACACAAGTTGTGCAAGCCCTTCATTAATCACACTTTAACTATGTGGGAGAGAACTCGGCAGTCCTCACATCCACTAGCTATGCAACTCAGTTCTCACCTTTTCAACATACTCCTACACGGCTGCTTACACAGAAATCAGACGCCATGAGAAAACAGAGAACACAGGCCACTCACCTTAGTAACAGTTTTGTCTCTTATGATCAAATATGGATTAGCTCTATCTTCTCACACTCTCATCCCCACCCCACATGCCTGCAATATAATTAAACCACTTCAGAGAATCTACAGGCAAATACTTGTGTTGGTTTTTCAGCCCCCAAATAAAAGTCAGACACAATGAACCATCGCAAGCAATTCCCCACCCTTCCCCAAGTTGCCTACCTCTTTCCAAAGTATGAGTCAAGTTTATTTGTAATAATGACCAAGACTAAGAAATCTATGATTTGCTAACAGCGACTAAACCCTAAACAGAGCACCAACACCCGCCCCTCCTTGACAATAAAAGCCTCGTGCCACTGAACTAGAAAGTTATCCAGTATGCTGCTACACAGTCTGTTCTCCTATAAGCACTCTGACCATGACCAGTTTTTGGGCTACTTCACCGTCCATCACTAAAGCAGCACTGAAACAGCTATTCATGTGTTCATTACAAATAAGATGTATTGCCAGCTTTTGAGTGATTCAATTCCATGCAACTTCTAAAAACTCCCAAATATTGCATGCACCACCCTTGTTGAAGGGCTACTGTAGAGGGAACACTGACCATGAAGGGAAAATTGTTCACATGTTGATACAGTTAAGAAAAAAAGAGGTAGTTGCTTAATCAAGAGTCCCGTGCTTATTAAACACCACCTACATTAAATGCCAATACTTCTTTAATAATTCTATCCAGTTCCGAAACTGGATCTTCCACATTCGGGAAACCTTGGCTCTGCCATTGTAAACACTCTAATCTCAAATTAACAGTTAACAACTGCAGAAGACTGGGAACAAGATACCTCGATCTGCAAGTCCAGAGATGAATTTCCATTTTCACTTGCAATTTTTAAAAACCAGGTGAGAAAACAAAGGTTGGCTACGCACAGTGAGAGAGTTTAAACATGGCAGTGCTACAGCACAGAACAAAGCTCATTTCTTGTGAGGCAAGCACTGACGTCCCTGCAGGTTGTTGCCATCACTTCTTTTCGTAAGACAAACATTTTATTTAGTTTAGTATTTCACAATTTCCAAAAGCCTGAGAAGCAGAATTGAAGAGTACTCCCACCTCTTCTTCGCTTCCTTCTAGATCATAGAATATCTCAAGTTAGGAGGAAACCAGCTGACCAAATTGGTGGCCTTCTATGATGGGGCTACGGAACCAATGGACAGGGGCAGAGCAGCTGATGTCATCTATCTGGACTTGTGCAAAGTGTACAACACTGTCCCAACACGACATCCTTGTCTCTAAATTGGAGAGACATCAATTTGATGGATGGACCACTCGGTGGATAAAGAATTGGCTGGATGGCAGCACATAAAGAGTTGTGGTCAATGGCTCAATGTCCAGCTGGAGACCAGTAACGAGTGGTGTCCCTCAGGGATCGGTGTTGGGACCGGTCTTGTTCAATATCTTCATCACTGACATGGACAGTGGGATTGAGCGCGCCCTCAGCAAGTTTGCCGATGACACCAAGCTGTGTGGTTCGGTTGATACCCTGGAGGGAAGGAATGCCATCCAGAGGGACCTTGACACGCTTGTGAGGGGGGCTGATGCCAACCTCATGAAGTTTAACCATGGCAAGTGCAAGGTCC